ATATATATATACCACTGCCACATAAGTCCCCACTTCCATCTCAGCCTCCCCCTCTTTTGCCAAAGCTGGTTGTCCCCTTTGGATCCCAGACACCGTGGGACCTCTAATGAGGAAGGAGGGATGAGATACATTATTCCACTTTTCCTCCTAGGGGGGAGGTAACTTGTGTCTTAAGATGCATTTCTAACATCCAGAATTACACGAGGGAAAATAACACGAAAACATCAAGAAAATATTTGTTTTTTCCATGGTCACTCACTAGCCAAATGTAAAGCTAAAACTTGTCTAAGTCTCCTAAATCCTATTATAATTGTTTATCCCCAACACCCCGACATGGATGGACTTAGCATAGAATTTAGTTCACTTTCCACCAGTGAACAATTCTGTGTAAGTAACAATTGAACTGATACACAGGTGAGCAGAATTGTGCCTGAATAGGCTGGCTTCGCTACCAAACAACTGCTAATTCAATCCAGCAGTTATTGAGCTAAGTTCTGAGAATAAGAAGATGTGTATCGTTGATTGTAATGGGAAATTAATGTTAAATTTCCAAAAGCAGAACCCCAGACCTCATGCATCCTAGTTCAGCTACTACTAAGCTATACCTCTAGCCCATGATTCTTGCTTTTTAAAATACATTCAAATCTATGATCTTTTCTCTAAGGTACAACAAACACGTAGTTTTGAACAAAGTATCATTATCAGCATCAATTTCTCTTTTCATGACAACAATTCTCATTTCTTTGCAACTAAAAGTCATGATATCATCTTGTTAATATTTTCATCTTTTTTATATCAGAGAATCAATAGTAGTGAATGGTAATAGAATTGGGGTGCTCTAGGAAATAGTAATTTGATTGGAAGTATAATAAAAGGTTAATTGCTAAGTAGGATAATAAAGTTGTTCATATTTTTAGGACTCTTTATTCTACCTCAAAGCTCTATTTGTCAGTGAAGAATTAATTATGCAACTGTTTAGCATTCAAGACATTACCATAACATGAAAATCCTTAAACACAGTGTTATGACTTGTGTTTAGATGTCCTCATAAAGCTTTATACTCTCTCAGAGGTAGCTGAATCTAGAGTATGTGATTGACTCATGGTGGGGCTAGGCCCAAGGGCTCTAGGATTAAGGGCTTAGGTCCTACCTGCCTAAGTAGTCTGAATAAGATAAAAGGGGCAGAAAGACGCTGTTAAGGTCCCTTGATGCTTTTGCTACTTTGTGGGTGCCACGACCCATTTCTCCTCTGTAACATCCGGTTGCCATCTGCCACTCTGCCTTGGAGCCAGCCGATTATGGACTGAAACCTCTACAAACTGTAAGCCAAATAAACCTTTTCCCCTTTAACTTTGGGGTCGGGTACTTTGTCTCAGCCGCAAGAGAAAAGTAACTAAGACACCCAGCCAAGGTGGGAGTACATGCTCTTAATTCCAGTACTCTAGGAAGCCTAGGCAGGTGAATTGCAAGTTGAACCCATCCCAGGTGATTTAACAACTTAGTAGGACCCTATCTCAAAATTTAGAAAAAAAATCTTTTTTTCTTTTCAAGGGCCAGTGATGTAGCTCAGTGTGACAGCCCCGGGTTCAATCCCGAAAATTGAAAAAAAAAAAAGCAAAGTTAGGGTGAGATATGCTAGCCCAAATTGAAGTCAAAAGCACTTACGGTTGATGCCCAGTTGTGTATGTACATGTGTTCCCTATGGGGAGAGAGCACTATCCTCCTTGGTAAGTAAATTTCAACCAATATCAGGGAGACAGTATTGTAAGCAAGTCCAGGATTCCCATTTCAAATGGTCAGGCACTCAGGGAAACAGCACACTCCATATTTATGGATTGTCACTCTTAGTACCATTACAAGCAGAGTAACATCTCAGGGACCAGAGTAAACTAATCACGCTGAGGCTCCTGTTAAAGGTCACCCCAAAGACAGTGTGGCAATTGCCCCCAAAGGGATGATCTAGGGATTTGAACAGGAAGTGAAATGAAAATCATTTTTGTCTTTTCTTACTGAAGCTCAAAACAAACAGGAAAAGACTTACAAAGCTGCACACACACGCACACACACACACACACAGACACAAAGTGTGGGTGGTTACAAATATCTGCCCTCCAAATGACAAGAATGAATAAACAACCACCCGGCAGTCAGTAAGATTTTCAGTACTGAGCTCAGCCATCACATCACACTGATAACAAGGGGATGTGGCACCTCAGTGAGGCAGCAGCCAGCTCTAAGGCAGTCACAGTAAGGAGGTTTCACTTCTATCCAAAACCCACAAAGCAGTTGCTGCAACAAGACCATGATATATAACGCTCAGCTACTGCAGAAAAATGCTCTCTTGAGGAGGGATTTTAACAGTGATCCAGATAATTCAACATCAGAAGGTTGAGAACTGAAAAAATGGAGTGTTAAGTCTAAATATCTGTATTGATTTATTATTTGTATTATTTTCAAAGAAAATTTAAAATCTGGATAATAGCCTATAATAACTGCTTACTTAGTATTTGAAATGCAGTTCTAAATATTGGAATCAGTATTATTTCATCTTTCATGTATACTATCCATCTCAAATATATGGGTATACATTTTGTGTGTCCCTGCATGTGTAGCAGGGTACTAGGGGTTGAATCCAGGGATTTTGCACTGAGCTATATCTTCAGTCCTTTCTGAAAAGTTTGTTAGGCTCTTACAAATTCACTAAATTGCCCACACCGGGCTCACACTTGTGATGCTCCTGCCTCAGTCTCTCAGAGTACTAGGATTATAGGTATGTGCAGAATGACTGGCCATATAACTCTATGTTTGTTTTTTCGTTGTTGTTGTTTTCTAGATTTCTTTGGCAGTCATATAATTTCACTGAGTCAAATATTAATATTAACCTTTGTTTAATTGAACAGATTTCCTTAAATAAGTGTGATCAGGGTTCTTTTATTTCACTTTAGTCCACTAATATACTATAAAGCATTCCTAATAGCATTTGTTTGATAGTGAAGAAAACTGGTTTTTTAAAATTTTATTTATTTATTTTGTTTGGGGAGGGTACTGGGGATTGAACTCAGGACCTTGCACATGTGAAGCAGGGCCAGAACCACTGAGCTAAATCCCCAGCCTGAAAACTGTTTTACTTTTGAAGAAAAATTATGAGACATAAAACTGTAGCATACTAGAAGGACCAGTTTAATATAGGAAATCGAAGGCTTGGTATACAAATCACCTCTAATATAACCACAGTTTTCAGTAAGTTCTATCTCTAATGAATTTGGGTTTATTTTTCTTAATACTTTTAGAGAGGAATGCCTTATTAATCACACCTTGATAGATCCCTACATTGAAAATCCAACACTCCAGTTGCTGGGCTGCTATTAATAAGACAAACCAAAAGTACCTTATAATTTAGGATTTGTACTATTGCACTGCAAATAAATACATTATTTAAAAACAGTTTTATAC